TTGGTTGTGCCCAGAGAGGGTATTTATGGTCGCACAGTAGCTCGGCTTCTGCTGAGCTCCTCCCACCTGTTTACACACCATTGTCTCGGTTCTCCTCTGCGCTGCTGTCTGAGCCCAAGCCGTGCCTTCTGATTTTGTTTCAAATTAGACCGATGACTCCCACCTCCGGGCTTTTGCACGTGCTGTTTCCTGCTGCCTTTGCCTAGTTGACTCGCATGAGCTATTGGCTCCTGGATCAACTGTAGTGGTTTTCTGGGAGGACTTCCTGCAGCACAGCTGGTACTGGCTTGCCATCTGCCCCGGCTCCAGCTCTGTTGGAATTTTGCTAAGTACTTGTGAGATGACTGCATTACTCTCTGCTTTCCCTCTAGACTGTGAGCTCCAAGAGGACACCCTACAGTCCTACACAGAGCGAATATCCAGTAACCACGGGTGAAGCAATCCTGCGGGCTTCCGACGTGGCCACGGGAAGCGTGAAGATTTGTCATGATTCTTTGGAGCTAAAATTGCTCAATCAAAGTCACAATGGCCAGGGGCCAGCATTTGTGGCGCAGTGGGTTAAGTCACTGCTTGGGACATCAGCATCCTACATTGGTGAGCTTGTTTGAGTCCTGGCTGCTCTGCTTCTGACCCAGCTCCCTGCTAACTCTCCTGGGAAAGCAGCAGATGATGACTCAAATACTTGGGTCTCTGCCTCTCACGTGGGAGACCCGGGTGGAGTTCTAGGCTCCTGGCTGAGGTCTGGCCAAGTCTCCTGGTTGTTGCAGCCATCTGGGGAGTGATCTAGCAGATGGAAGATCTTTCTCTCTGTCTCTCCTATCAAATAAATAAATAAATCTTTTTTTAAGATTTAATTTTTTTATTAATTTGAAAGGCAAAGTTACAGAGAGAAAGAGGGAGAGGCAGAGAGAGAGAGAGAAAGAGAGGTCTTCCATCCGCTGGTTCACTCCCCAAATGGTCACAACGGCCAGGGCTGGCCAGACTGAAGCAAGGAGCCAGGAGCTTCTTCTGGGTCTCCATGAGAGTGCAGATGTCCAAGCACTTGGGCTATCCTCTGCTGAATTACCAGGTGTAACAGCAGGGAGCTGGATTGAAAGTGGAGCAAGTGGGAATTGAACAGGTGACCATATGGCAGGCAGTGGCTTAACCCGCTACACTACAGTGCCGGCGCCAATAAATAAATCTTAAATCAAACCAAAGCAAAAACAAAACCCAGAGTGGTTGGGATGGCTGCAGGGTTAACTGCCCCATCCAGCTTAACCCTAGTACATTTTTTAGTGAGTCCGGGGAGCGTTGTTTGCATTTTGAGGATTTGGACAAGACTCAGTAAATTGGTGAGCAAGTTTAAATTTGCAACAGTCCCCTTGAAAGAAGGGTCATTAATTCTCCCTTTTTCATTTTAGAAAGATGCCAAGTGCACGGAGGTCAGCTTTCTGTCATTGAAAGGAAAAAACCCCGGTAGAACCCCTGTAGACACCGTGCTCCTTCGGGATTAGTTGCTACTGGAAGCTAAAGAAAAATGGATCATTTGAGCAGAAAAACCCATTTGAATGAAACCCAAAGACCCATACTTTGTTCTGTAACTGCTTAAGGGAATTCGCATTTAATCAAAACTGAAGACTACAGCATTTGCCACGAGAATTCTTGCATCTTATCTCGGCTTTAGTGATTTCTTTTTAATTAGTTGATGCACCACAGAAATCCTAAAATGCTGAAAACAACTGGGAAACAGAAATAAAAGGGAGGGTTGCAGTTGCTGGTGGCGGCACCGTGTTTGCTTCCTTGGCTTTGGCACTTTCGCTAACACGTAACCTGTAACCTACTTCTGAAGGCTACAAGGAGACAATTATTTGGTTAATTTTCATCCTTCAGTTTATAATCTTAATTAGTTCTTCAACTAGTATTCCCTAGGCGATGCATAATTCTTCCTCATCATATCTGTGCTTCGTGCTGTTCAAGAACCCCTGTTTTCATTTAAAAGATGAAAAGCTTCATTCCTGTATTTTTATGCGTCGTCGTGCGTTCTTGCCAAGAGAGTTGGGATTTTCTGTAATTTAGAACTCCAAGGGAACTGAATGAAATGCCTATTGACTTTGAAACAATTTCTTTTATTGTAATCATGACTATGTAACACATATTAGCATAATCTCAACGTACTTGGAGTTGCTGCTGGAGTACATGGTGGCATCGTGGTGGGAGAGAAAGGATTTGACATCAGGCAGGTACAAATTCAAATCACATCTCTCCACTCACTGGCCACAGTTCTTTATCGGGATCTACACTGTTGATCAGACCACCTTGCCTTGCAGAATTGCCCCGAAGATTTACTGAGATGGGGAGCTCAAGTGGTTTCTACATATGTGCCCTATATCCCATGTATCAGTGCTGTTTGATGGAAGTACAGGTATTATAGGAGCCATTTATGTAATATGAACTTTTCTAGTAATCACTTTAAAAAGTAAAAGGTGAAATGATATTATGCATATGACTTAAGCTAACACATGCAAAATGTTATTTCAGCATACATTAAAAGTATCAAAATAATTTACATTGTTTTTGCAACACTAGGTCTTTAAAATCCACTTTCTTAGAAAATTTCAATTTTCACCAAGTGTAAAATTTTTTAAAAAATTTATTTATTTGAGAGTCAGAGAGACTGAGACAGCTCCCCTCTGATGGTTTACTTCCCAAATGGGTGCAATGGCCAGGGCTGGGCTGGGGCTGAAGCTGGTAGCTGGGAACTCAATCCAGGCAAGGACCCAAGTACTTGAGTACTCCCAGGGTGCACTGTCAGAAAGCTGGAGCCACAAATTGAACCCAAGATGGGACACAGACGTCTTAACTGCTAGGCTAAATGCCCACTCCCTGGACTGACTGTATTTTAAGCTTAATGGCCAGATGTGACAGCTGTCCTGAACAGTGTAGCTTTAGATGACTCATGAATTCCCCTTTCCTACCCTTTGTGTGTTAGAATTAAACTTGAGTCATCCAGCTGGTGGAGAAGCCCCTATGGAGAATCTGCACTCATCCTTCCTAGATGTATTCAGCCATGAAAAAAAACCCATTTAGCACAATGATTGGAAGAGTAGAGGCAGTAGTGGTTCGTTGAATTTTAATTGCTTTAAACAGTATGGTTCTAATAGGAAAATGTACTTTTTGATATTAAAAGTGGGCATTAAAATCAAATTGTAGAAGTGACTGAAATTAAAAAAAAGGCTTGAAAAATAAGCTCTTCGAGTTACCAAATTCAGTTGGGCACAATAAACCTTCCAAAATGATATGCAATTTATTTACATGTTATTCACTGCAAGTACATTTTTTTCACCACAGAGAAAACTTGGTAGCTTCCATCAGATTCTTACATGGGCCCAGGAAATCAAGTACAGGCAACAGAGGTGGTGGAAAGTTCTGTTGGTTGTAGTGCACGTTGTTTGCACCAATGCTAGGATTTCCCACCCATGAGAATAAAAGTTGTAAATCATCTCATCACTGTTACTCAGGCAAGTCCCTCCCCTGGACCAGCAGCTCAGAAATGCTTGTGTTGTCAGGCACTCCGGAGCTCAGACAGCAGATTTCTGTTTCCTGGCCTATGCTCGCTCTGGGGCATTCACTTGTGGAACACATTTATTTCGTGGTTGAGGGCTCAGGATTGACTGCACATTTGTTAACTGCGCACATGAGAGCTACTACTCTCCTGAGTATGGGGTGATAAGAGCTGTGGCATCATGTGCTGGGTTCTGACTTCAAATCCCAGTCTGGTTACTAATGAGCTGCCTTTCCTTTGACTGTTCATCTCTGTTCATTAACGAAGTGATGGTTTCCAGGGCCGGACTGCGGCATAGTGGTTAAAGCCGCTGCCTGCAGTGCCAGCATCCCATATGGGCATTCTGGCTGCTCCACTTGTGATTCGGCTTCCTGCTAATCACCTGGGAAAAGCAGCAAAGGACCGCCCAAGTGTTTGGGCCCCTGCACCTGGTGGGAGACCTTGTCTTGAGAACTAAGAGTCTGATTGTGTTGGAAGTTGGAGAGTATTGGGTAACCATGGCTCGAACAGTCCACTGGTCAAAACTGCACCTCTGAGGGTTGATTAGAACGATGCAATAGACCTGATTATCTCTTAGCAATGTGTGGTTCTGGGGGAGTGACGAACAGACATCTTAACAGTGAGGAGTAAGTATTTCAGTCTTTTATTAAGTTGCTTTATTATATGTATGGGTACTAATTCGTCTCAATATCCTGGCCCCAAAGGAGAGTTTTGGCTCTAACAGGGTCTGCCTCCGAGACGCCTGAACCAGCAGGTCATTGCAATCAGAACATTAGTCGGATCAGCGAGTAAGCCAGATCCATGCCTGTCATCATGGCGAAAGAAAATGATGTCCTTCCTAATCTTATTTTTCAGTAGGTAACATAGCTGAAAAATTGGTGTAAACCCTATAATCAGGGAACAATTTATAGCACACTGATTACTTAGAACCCTGGCAGTTGCTCTAATCTGAAAGATACCCCTTTTGGAGCCCACCCACTCTGGCGACCCCTGTTACTCTAGGAAAACATTGTCTGATTTACACAGCTACATGTTAGAAAAGGAAAGCTGGACCCTACTACCCAGCCTCTTACTTATTCCTGACAGACCGTAATGGCTGCAATGAACCAAAGAGATTTCATGGTAAACATGACCTTGATTGATAAACTTGTTGTAACCATTCTTGTTTATAGGATCCTGGGCCAGGTTGAAGCGTTCTGTAAGACAGGCAGTCAGAATGCAGGATTACATGAATTTGATTCCTTATTCTGCACTGCTAGTCCTTGGCTTTATATCTGTCATTGGGTTCCAGTCTGATTGAAGGAATCAGATTGTCTGAAAGACTTAAATCCTTCCAAGGCAGCAGGTAATACGACCGGTGCGGTGGGGGTGGGGGGGGGGGGGTGGTAAATAAACACTGCAAAAGGCTTCTATTTTATAAGCACGACTGCAAAACAAGAAATCACATCCAAACATATCAAATAGAAAATAATAATTTATTTTAACTTCATTTTACTTAATGTTTGTAACTAATCATGATTTCATGAACTTGCTTGTATAAGTCTGTGCCTTCAAATCTACAAAGCAAAGGTTTACTACAATGAGCACTTGAAATTCCACAAACTGTCTCCTTTCCATGCAAATTCTTCCAATGGCTGCATTATTTGCAAACATGCCTGCAACTGCCAAAAAGCCGCGTTATATTCTGGGTTCCAATAAAACCTTTATACTCTGGGGAACCTTGAGCAGAAGGATGCTGAAATGCACATCCCGACTCTCAACACTGCTGGTTTGGTTCCGTGCATTCGCTCCTTAACCACAGCCTTCGGTGGCTTTGGGTTGAAACCTCGACCTAAATAATATATTAATGGTCACTCGTATGAAACACATTCAACAAAGGAACGTTATAAAATAGGGGTTCCATTAAAAATACAGACCGGCGATTGTTATTTGTGTTTTAGGCGGGGGGCGGGGGAAGCGCGTTTTTCTCATATGAATATAGTTTTAAACAAATTATTCTGTGAAAGTATGCTTAATAAAAGATCTTTCTGAAATTTAAACACTTTTATGTAAAAGGTACCAAGTAAAAAAGTACAACCGCTATTTGCAAAAAGCTGTCCATATCCACCTCCCAGGTAGGAAAAGGGCGTTTTGCCCCTCCTCTTAAAATAGAGCTATGGCACCCGGTGCTGGGGAGGGGGTGGCCCGTCTGGACTATACACACGACGGCCGCGCTTGTCGTATATACAGGAGCTTGCCGCATTGAACGAGGCAGGAATCTCTCTGCACCACCGGGGGTGGTCTCTCTTGCACGCGCGCGAAGGGGATGCAGCCGATTATACCGTCGTCACCGACAGGAAGGCATTGTACACTCGCGTGCCGTCCGGCGACTTGGTGCCGTGCGTGAGCAGTTCCTGGATGGTCATCCAGTTGTCGAAGATCTTCTTGTTGCGCTTCTTCATCATCTTCTTGTGGCTCAGTTCCAGGATGCTCAGCTCGCGCCGCTCGTCGGCCGCGTGCTGCTCGCGCAGGCAGTCCAGGCGGCTCTGCATCATGAGCTCGCGCCGGCGCCGCTGCTCGCGCGCGCGCACCACGTGCTGCTTGCGTTCCTCCTTGCTCCAGTAGCGCCCGGTCTTGAGCTCGCTGGCCGCGTCGTCGTCCGTGGTGAGGCCGCTGCGCTCCTCGCGGATCTTGAGCGCGCGCTCGCGCAGCAGACGGTCGCGCACAGGCCGCTTGGTGATGTAGCGCGTGCCGTCGCTGCGCACCTTCACCTTCCACTGCATTCTCGGCTCCGACGCGCCCGCGGAGCCCAGGTCCTTGCACACGCTCAGCAGGCTCACCTGGCTCTGCGCGTACTCTACGGCCGACTTCTGCTGGATTAGCTGCATGTAGCTCTGGTAGTGGCGCGCGTGCGCTGGGATGTGCGCGTGCTTGTAGGGCGAGTGCGGGCACGAGGCCGCGTGCGCGGGGCCCGGCGTCGGGCTGCTCGCGGGGCTGCGGCTGCCATCGGCCGCCCGGCGCTCGTGGCCCTCCAGGGCTTGGCCGGGGCCCGGCTCTGTGGCCGCGGGGCCGTAGGTTGGGGAGCCGACCTCGGGGTCTTCGGTGATGGCCAGCAGGCTGTTGGCGGCCGGCCCGGCGGCTTCGGTGGCGCTGTCACCGCGCGGGCGGCCTAGGCCGTCGACTGCCCTCCGCAGGGAGTTGTCGGGCGAGATCTCCAGGGCGAGCGGGGTGCTGCGGCAGCTCTCGCCCGTGTTGTAGGCGCTCGAGCTGTCCTTGTCGGACCTCTCCGGCAGCTCGGTGATGTCGGAGAGCTCGCGGCGGCGCGCGTCGGCGCCCGCCGTGCAGGCGCGCAGGCCGCCGTGGGGCAGCGCCCAGGGCTCCCGACCCGGCTCGCGCAGCGGCGGCGCCCGGTGCGCGCGCGCCAGGCTCAGGCACTCGAGCTCGATGCTGCGCAGCTCCTCGTTGAGCAGCGCCAGCTCCTGGTCCACACTCTCGGGGTCGCTCTTGGCGGCGTCCAGGCCGCTGCCGGCATAGTAGGGGCTGCAGGGCCCGGCGCCGCCCGCCCGGCACTTGAGCTCCAGGAGCTCGCGGAAGCGCTCGCACTCGTCCACCGGGATCCCCAGGTAGTCGGCGTCCGTGCAGTCGGCAGACACGAAGGACTCGTTGCTGAAGGGCAGGTCGCCGCTGCCCAGGGTGTCCTGGCTGCAGGTGAGTTTCCTGTGGCCCGGCAGCGCCGCGGCGGGCGCCGCCGTGGCGTCGTCGCCGTTGTTCTCCTGCTCGGAGCTCTCGTCGTTGCGCGTGCTCTCGTCCGTGCGCCCCACGCCGCTGTCCTTCTCGTGCTGGTTGGACAGGATGGTGGCGGTGTCTGTGGTCCCGCCGTCCTCCTCATGCTTCTTCTGCACAAGGGAAACCACAGGAACAAACAATCATTGCCGAAAGCGGCGAGAAGTGGCGGTGGAGGTGACGCAGGTCCTGCCCGACTTTCCCCTGAAGGCCAACCTTCCTGGGTAGGGCGGCTCCCCACTTCCAAGCCGCTGAGGGCAGGACTGGAATGCACCTACCCTCCTCCTGTCTCCCTGGGTGTCTCTAATCCTTGCACTGTGGCCCAGTTGTCTGTCAGTGCGGGGTAGCTGTCACCTTCAGTGAATGGCTGAACTACTGGACGACCCGTCCTTGGGTAGCAGGCTGCATAACTGGCCTCCATTAGCTCAGAGGGACTCCACTGGGTGATTATGACTCTGACAAAGGATAGTGGCACAGTCGGGAGCTCTTAGCAGCTCAGGTTAAACAGGGAATGGCTCTGCTTCTGCAAACAGCGCTTTATTTTCCCCACTGCACCTTAACGCTAGCACGTGTGCATTTCAAACAGCTCTCAGAAGGTCAGTTGTTAAAAGCTCGCTCATGGAGAGTATCAGCTTGCAGCTCCCTCATGCTCCAGGAGAAGGCACTTAATCTATTCTCTTGCGGTCTTTCAGGTCAGTGGGTTTCTGGGTCTTAGGATCAGGAAGGGAGATGGAGGGAGCAGCCCCCTTGGTGCAGCTGGGCGGGGAGTAGGGTGAGGGGTCGTGGCCGGTGTTACCTGCTGGAGCATACTGGCGGTGAACTGCATGGCCTGGTGGTGTTGCTCCTCCAGCATGTCCATGTGCAGGTCATCCAGGAAGTCGTTCCGGTCATCGTCCATCCAACCCTCGTCCAGCTGCAGGGAGAAGCAGTAGCCAACAGTGCCTTGTAAGTTTCCTTTTGCTTTCATTGTTATTGATTTCTTTGTTAAAAGAAAGGACATTACCCTAGAGGAAAATATTTTGGGGCTCCCTCCGGGAGTCATCCCAGTGCAGTGTGCCCCTTGTTTTTGCTGCAGGTTGGGAAGCCACCCACTCCTGAGACCTCCACTGGGCTGCCACTGTGGCGCCGTGGGTTAAGCTGCTGCCTGCAATGCCAGCATCCCATATCTGAGCACTGGTTCAAGTCCCAGGTGCTGTACTGCCATTCTAGCTCTCTGCTAATGCTTCTGGAAAGCAGAAGATGGTCCAAGTGCTTGGGCCCCTGCCCTTCAAGTGGGAGACCAGAATGGAGTTCCAGGCTCCTGGCTTCATCCCTGGCCCAGCCTCGGCTGTTGTGGTTCTTTGGGGGAGTGAACCAGTGGATGGAAGATCTCTCTCTTTCTCCCTCTCTCTCACTCTGTCTTTCCCTCGCTCTCTCTGTAACACTGCCATTCAGATAAATAGAGTAAATCTTCAAATAAGAGACCGCCAACCCTACATCACATCTGGGGAAGTCTCTGGTGCCCGCTGTGTGTTTAGCAGGGAGTACTCTTTCCCCTGCATCAGCTGCTGGGAGTGAGTCCAACAGGCTGTCTGTGTGGCAGGGTCAGGTGGGGCCAGCCAGGCCTCCTGCTTGCTGGACCACACACGGATTGAGCAGCCCCCAAAGAGAAACTCAAAAGAGTTCTTTGTGACAGAAGCAGGTCTACTAAAGTAAGTGTTTGGCCTGGACAAGAATAACCCTTTCATCAGGCCCCTCAAAAGAGCAGACTCTTCAGGGGTTGACGATGTACAGCCCGTGGGCCCGGCGCTTGTTTTGTTTAAAGACAGAAAATCAAACAGAGACACACCCATTTGTTTCTGTATCGGCTTTGGCTGTTCTGCACAACGGGAGTCAGCGCCTAGCAGCTGCAGCCCAGACTGTCTGGCCAGCCAAGTCCAGCCAGCTCTCGTCCTCTGGCCCTTTAAGAGAAAATCCGCTGGCCCTCGATGAGGTCACCGCTGATGTACCCTTGGCGCCCATGGCCCTACCAGCGCCAGTGAATCAGACGCCCTGTATGCCGCTGGTTACTTTCCACTTGGCTTTTCAAATCTAAAGACAGCTCCCGCCCCGGATCCCGCATGATAGCCGTCCTAACTGAACAGATGGGGAGGGCCAGCGGGCATGAGTCCAGGGTCCTTTCCGTGCAAGGAGATATTGCAGCCCAGCGTCTTCTGAATCAGACTGCTGGGGCCCGAATCCCATCCTGGGTCTCCAGGCTCCTTGGGAACCCCTGGGAACACCAGTCAGGCAGGAGCCTTCCCTGTGTGTAAAGCGCTCTGCACAGGGCCCGCCATGTGTTAGGTGGTCGCTGAGGGTCAGTCACTGATCAATCAGCATTTCTTTCAGTTTTGAAGGAGCCATTTCAAGTCCCCCCATCCCTCCCTCTGCTATTAGAATCGCGACCCATACAGACGCAGGCTGAGACGCGTGTCGGGCATCCTGACGGTCAGCCCCTGGGCTGTGTTTTCCTTTCCAGAAGTTTCCGTTCCTTCTCCTTCCCTGAGATGCCTGCACTAATGAGCCTGCTGGGCCTGCAGTGGGAGTGCTCGGGTGCGAGCCAGCGCCCTCCTTAAATGGTTAAACTATGAATGGGGTTCTAAGTCACTGCCAGTGTGACTTCCTTGCCAGGGTGCAAAGCACTGCAGGGTCAGAGTCGAGACTCAGTTGCTGTTCTACAGCGCTGGAGACGTGGGGTTTTGATCTTAGTAATACAGTTCCAGTTGCGCTTGCAGGAAGCCGACTCACCTGGAGTTCAGGCCTTGCAATCAGCAGTGAGAAGTTCTTGTTTTCCTCGCTGGTGAGAAGGGCGACTGCCTCCTCGCGGTTCTGTACTTCTATCCCATTGATCTTAGGGGGAACAAACAAAAGTGGGGGTGAGTAACAATCACATGAGGAGGTCTCGCAGAATCATTGTCTTACTTCAGGCCTGCGTTTGTAACCCCCGCTCACAGCTGGGCAGACAATTCCACGGAGCTTGGAATTTGGGGAAGGCTTGCTCGGACCGATGCACTTGTCTGCTCTGGGAGAGAGCCTGCCCAAGTACAGTTCATGATGCCACTGTGCATCGGTGAACAGAAGGGGCCGGGGGCCCAGGGTATCACACTGAGAAAAATCAGTGTGTTACGCAGAGGGCACGTCTAAGCAGCGTGATCAGACACCGTGTTTAGGCAAGAGGACAAGTGGAAGATACGAAAAGCATTACTGCAGATATTTTTGGATAATATGGGAGGAGAGGCAGCAACAGATCTCACATGAACCTTACAGAAGCTGAGAGCAGAGAAGGGAGTAGAATTATACTTGGGGTTTTGTGTCCCATGTTTGGAATTTGAACTTCTTTAGGCCGAAGGCTAACTGGGAGTGACACTCTCACTATGACACCTGAGAGCCCTCTTGCAGCCTTTTGGCTTGTGTGTCCTTGTAACTTTTGAACTCTGCTGCTGTGCAGGGCTTAGTGCCCGGGGAAATGCTTCCTCCAGGGGACACAGCAATGGTTCCTGTGAGTTGGAGCTGAGTCCCCGTGTGATTTCTTATACCAGGGAACCAAGAGGTAGCAAAAGAGTTGACTCTACTCGGGGTGATAGGGAAGTGGGGTTGCTGTGACAATGTGGGGAGCTGGTCTGGAGCCCAGGGGGTGCTCTGGGGCGCCTCCTAGTGTGCTTCCATGCTCCACGTAAAGGCTCACGGCAAACTACAGCAACCAAAGGATGCAAAGGGTTTTGACCCTTCAGGGGTGAAGGTTGGCGTTAACTTTCCCTAAGCAATTGAAATTCCAGGTGAAGGCTGGAGAAATGCAGAATGGAAATGGGGAATAAAAATTATTCATGGTGAAGAATGCAATGAGAAAACAGGGTGGATGAGAAATGACAAAATATGAGTGAGAAGTGGTAAAAAGCTAAGCCTGGCGGGACCCCATGAAGCCAAGAATCTCAATTTCTGGGAGATTAAAAAAGGTGGCGGCTTGCGGACCAGAAGGAACTGTTGCTGAAGTAGCAGCTGACAGGGACTGGATTCAGTTTGAATGCGTTTCCAGAGGCGCGCGTGCTAGAAGCTTGGTCCCCATCCTGACAGTGCTGAGCGGAACAACCTGAAGAAGTGGGACTTCATGGGAGGTTATTAGGCCAGGGGGGCTGCACCCTCGGAGGAGTTATGCTGGTCCCACGGAGTCAGTTCTGTCCAGAACGGGTTGTTGTAAAGCGAGGCTACCCTACACAGTGGGCACTCCTACATGAGGCCATGTCTCCTTCCACTTCTTCACCATCTTACGACACAGCCAGGGGGTTCTCAGCCGAGGATGAGCAGATAGGGCCACCCAGTTCTGGACTTCCATCCTCTATCCTCTTTAGTTTATAAAATCCCCAGCATCAGGTACTCTGTTATAGTAGCACAAAACAGACGGGGAGAACGACCCCTAGAAGCTGTTCCACAGAACTGTTAAATGTTGAATCATGAAATTTAAAAGAATTCTTGAATCAGTTTTGTTAAGCTTGCCAAAGATGGTCCTTCCCATTTTAAGGACAAGACGCACCTTGAAATGTTTGATCCACAGTTAATCTTTCAGAGAGCTCTAACTTGGGAATCATCCTGGTTCACGAGACTAGAAAGATTCCCCCAGAATCAGAGAAGATGATGTCAGCTGGCTTACGTTCTGCCGGGGAGGGGGGGGCGGTGTGTTCTGTCCAGTTTGTCTCAGGCCTCACCACTCCCTGTTGCATCTTGCTACCCAGTTTCCCCTACTCATTCTTTTATCTCGTCTGGCCTTGCTGCACATCTGGAGTAGTGGTCCCTGTTCTGTACCCTGTCCTGCGTTTTCAGCCCTTGAATTACCGTTAGCACAGCGAGGCGACCGGTTGGAAGCAGACCTACCTGAATAATGCGGTCTCCTTCTCGGATGCGCCCGTCCTTGGCTGCGATGCTGTTGGGATCGATCTGAAACACACAGCAGACCTCTCAGCACCGGCCAGCCGCACACGAAAATGAACAACAGCACATTCCAGAAGCCATCGCTTAACACCCAGTCATGCTCCTTGCTGTGTTTCTGCTGTCACAGAAACAAACAAGGACAAGTGTCGTGCAAAGAGATACAGGCATGGACTGATCTGCTGCCAAGCCTTCTCCAGGGTCTCTGCTTGGATCCCTGCGTGGCAGCTTTGTCATACCACAGTGTGCCCAGACTCTGCCCAGCTCAGGGGGATGAGGAGGCATAGCCAACCTGCCTTGCAAAAAAACAGTGGTGAAAATGAAACCAATGATGTAGAATGGGTTCAAGGGTATCATTTGTGATGCTGACTAGCAAGACTCCCTTGATATTTTTATAGCACTTCTATTACATTTTGGAAAATAACTAGCACTAGAAGATATTTAAGACGAGTGGTATACAGTATGGAAGGGCTGCCCCTAAATGCATTCATGCTAGATCAACTTGAACTTGGTAGACAGGCAGTGTCCATCCAATGGCCTAGGAGACACATCTCTTAGTTCATCCCTTTGAGATAAGATTTTACTTCCTGAAAAAAAAAATTGGGTTTGCTCGCTTGGCAGGATAGGAGTGCATAGTAAAGCACTGGTGTTTTGCACTGTCTTTTCTAGGAAGATCAAAACGGCCTCTATCTGTGTACTTTGATGAGTTCACATGAGTTGCATTTCCCGTCTATGAACTCCACTGAAACAGAAAAACAGAGAAAGCGCGCCTTTACAGAGCGTAAGTGATTCCATTTACCATTCCACTCAACGAACATGGGCTGCGAAATGTGAATCTGCCGCTCCCTCGGGGCTGAACACAAAACCATGTAAACGGCTCCATTTTATAGCCGATTCGCACGCTTCTCAAGGGTAATTCTGTCTGATGCGATGACACTGGAACTTAACCCCATGTGAAGACAGAGCTCCATGGAGTGTGCTAAAGGGACGAAGCAATTCATCCATGTCTTTCCAAAGGCTTACTCGATGAGCTGGAGTTAAGGTTGGTTAACACAGAAAAGGGGCAAAAACACCCTTTCAGTCTCGATAGGATAGTTGGAAAAAACTGGCCCGCGTACCTCACTTATGTAAATCCCAATGTCATCTTCATCGTCCGTCCGGTAGCACACCGTGAGGCCGAGCTTGTCCTGGCTGTTCATTCGGTAGAGATCTACTTCCTAAACAAAGAAGGGTGTTCCCGGTGAGCGCCAGCAGGCAATGCAGGCCAAGAGGACGTCAAACGCTTTAAAAATATTTGGCTTAGATGATGACCTGGAATTCTCTGCATGCCACTGTGGAGAACTTACTACACAAAGAGTGATTATGGACACGGGATCAATGCTCAGGGCGTGCCTGACCTTTCAGTCAATATAAAGTCATTTTGAAAATAGTTATTCTATTGATCCTCCCAAAGAAAAATTACCCATATTTCACTCAATGTCAAGACTTCTGGGGTAGGGCTTTTAAAAAGCATTCTTTCAATGTCATCCACAAACAAGAGTATTTCCACACCCCAAACCAGCCAGCCAGCCAGTGCAGTGCAAATGTTTCCAACGTGTTGGGTTAAGATGATTTCACATTGTGTTTCCTTAATAGTCATGGTCGTAGAACTTGCAAGCAGATTACACACAGATTGGTCCAAGAAAGGAGGGTAACATGATAGTGTGTAATTAATGCTTTCCACAACAGCTGTGATATTTACAGCAGAGAAATTAGTTTTAGCTGCTATTACTGCAAATTAAATAAGATAAAAGCAAAGTAAGCCCAAACACGGGATGCCTGAGAACAGAGGATGCTATTGTATTTGCCAATTAGCCTGCACTTGAGAATGAAGTCAGAACGTTGAAGAATTGTGGGAGGCCGGGTGAGCACCCTGGGTTTTCTGAGATGTGCACAGGCTAAGTTCCTCTCCACCTGCTCTGCCACTGCCTCCTGCAAGTTTTTGCAGCTGTAGCCTAGGAACCCGTTTGATGGCCGCCTGCTAAGTTTCCCACAGAAGCCTATTTAGTCTACTTTACAGTGTTATCATCTGCTCACTAACCGGGAAAGCTGCAGGGACCCTGAGCTGGGGTCCTTGTCTACTGTCTGTGGGGACTACTTCTAAGTGGCCTCTCTTGAGGATCGATCCTGAAGGGTAGGAGGGATGGGTGCAGCTGTCATGTGGAGAAGCTCAGAGCAGTTACATGGCAGATAAATCTTAATTCCTCCCCTTGAGAGGCAGGGTACCCAAAACCGTGGGAGAAGAGCAGCAGGTGCAAAGGCCCTGGATGAATATGGCCAAAGCCTCAGGGCAAGGAGGAAAGAAGGCAGGTCAAGTGTATCAAGGCAGTGGGGGCCCAGTGGCCAGCACAAGGCTCTCTGGTTTTAGTCCCACACCTTGGGCACCCATCATTGGGTGAGGACTGCCAAGATCTCAGGCTGCAACATTGTCAGTACAATGCAGTGGTGCAGAGTTGGGGCTACAAAGAAAGGCAGACTCTTTCCAGCATCTTGAGCATGGGCTGGTGATTCTCTCCAGGGCTGTTTCCCGACTCGCACATTTCTTCTGGCCTCGGTGGGGTGAGGAAGAGGAGGCATGCGGAGCGCTGAGCACAGTGCCCGGCCTTCCAGAGGTCCTCAGTCACTTGGAAGGACGATAACTAAGTGTAGGATGGTTACTGGCCTGAACCCAAAGGTACTGTGGCAGGGAGGGCAGACTTCAACCCCTCCGTAGGATTCCTTTATTAATATTTATTAATTAACATTGGTATGTTAACTAATTTAAGGACTTCCTAATCATAGGTTTAGCAATAGGGTGAATTTTGCATATAATGAAACCCTGTTAATTTCTGATGACTTGGTTGAGTTAGATGGGCGTTTGTTTCCTCATTTCTGAGAAATATACTATGCAGGGGATTAAGGGTCATAGGCCATATTCAGCCACAATGGCAAACTCTTTCCAAATCCTTTGGAAAATCAATCTCTGTCACACAGATATCCTAACCATTGGTCATGCTCTTGTGATCCAGACACAGGTCCAGATATCTTCCTTCGGTTACACTTTATCTGAGTGTGAGCCAAAGGGAAGCCTCCCTTGGTTTTGGAGTTCCCTCCTGGTTCCACTGCGTGGATCACATTTCACGTGTATTTGCTGAGGTCCCAGTGCACAGCTGCAGCACAGATGCTGCCACAGGGGCCTGAGCTATCACTGTGGGGGCCTGTGATGCTGGAACAGCGCCACGTGCAGCCCAAGCAGGGGTAGAGATCGCTGGGAAGATTGTAGCAAGACAAATGAAAAAGACAACACATGTTGTGGTATTACTTTTAACAGGGTCCAAAGTAACAACACACGTGCTAGCTTTCCTTGAGTGACCAGTCACCAAAGTAGCTATCGCCCAAGAAAGTACAACAGGTATCATAGTTCCATGGGGCTTTACTGCAATGCTGCTCGGAGTGTGCTTCAATAAGTACAGAAATTGAGAGAAGTGTTTAGAAACTTAGCATCTGTACTTTCTCCTGGTCACCAGGGGTGTGGCCAGCAGACTTGATCAGTGAACAAGGTACTGGTTCAGGTCCTGTTAGCCACCTAATGCGGTCAGCTCCACAGTCATGCAGAGTTGAACCACTGGTCAGTGGCAGACTGAAAAGTAAACGAGCCAGCCAGCCTGGTCCTCATGGTCTCTCCCCACAGTCTGACAAGCATGATTCTGCAAGACACAACTAGACTTGAGAACTCTGTTTGACACAGCCCAGGAAAGTAACAAGTCTGGAAAACATGTCTTGGAAAATAGTGGTACCAAGTTCAAGGGGTCTTCAAAAAATTCATCCAAGATGTGTATTAAGAAAAAAAGCATCAGTATAAACTTAGCTTTAAATTGCATTTTTCTGTGAACTTGTTGAAATATCCTCCTGTTGATGGTATGCAAGTACAAAAGAGAGAGACTCACAAGGAATGTGCAAACTGATGTTCTGTAGAGACAAGGGTTACATTTGGCCTAGTACCAAATACATAGGTGGCCAGATTTCAGAAGTCTTTAGCATGTGATTTTGATAAAAACCTAACTGGAAAAGCATTTTTATTCCATTTTTTAAAAAGATTTAGTTATTTACAGAGAGAGAGAGAGAGAGAGAGAGAGAGAGAGACGGGGGCTGATGTCAGTTCATTTTGCTGCTGGCAGGATGATTTTTTTTCCTGCATGTTTTCCTTTTGAATCTGCCCGTTTCTTCCTACAAATCCATATACTTTTTTTTTTTTTGCCAGGCAGAGTGGACAGTGAGAGAGAGAGAAAGGTCTTCTTTTGCCGTTGGTTCACCCTCCAATGGCTGCCGTGGCCAGCGCGCTGTGGCCGGCGTACCACGCTGATCCGATGGCAGGAGCCAGGTGCTTCTCCTGGTCTCCCATGGGGTGCAGGGCCCAAGCACTTGGGCCATTCTCCACTGCACTCCCGGGCCACAGCAGAGAGCTGGCCTGGAAGAGGGGCAACTGGGACAGAATCCGGTGCCCCGACCAGGACTAGAACCCGGTGTGCCGGCGCTGCAAGGCGGAGGATTAGCCTAGTGAGCCGCGGCGCCGGCCCATATACTTTTGTAAGAAAATTGTGTAAGAAAACTTTGCAGCAGAGTTTCAGGCTAGAACAGAAGACAGTTCAGAAACATTTGCTGCTTTAAAATATCTTCACCTGAATCACCAATAACTGAATCAAGAAGATCCATTTATGCTTCCTTATTTAAACACCTTTTGTAGGCTCCCCCAACCCCACCCTGTGGTTACGAGCACGTTGGAACAGGCTGAACATCCCCACTCCGAAAATCTGCAATCTTACATGCTCTAAAATCTGAAACTTTTTGAGTGACAGAATGACACCCAAGTGAAAAATTCCACCTGACCTCATGAGACAGGCTGAAAGGCAGGTGCACTGGAAATATCCCATGAAGCTGCCTTCAGACTGTGTGTATAGGTGTACGTGAGACACGTAAGGGTGAGGCATGGGGAAGGCGGGGTCTCACTGGAAAGACCTGCCCGGAGTATGTCAAAGCTGCTTTCGCCCACTCCACCTTCCTGTTCACAGTGAAGCAAAGCTGGAGGGTCTGATCTTAAAAACAGACCTCGGGCGGCAGCATAATTCTGGTTTAAGGAGCACTATTCTGGAGCAGTTTTCTATACTGGAAGTGGTCTGTGTTTTTCAAAAAAATTTTTATTTGAGATGGGGAGGGAAAGAGAAAAGAGAGAAAGAGAGCGAGCAAGAGAGAGAGAGAGTGTGTGCACTCCCGAATCTTCTGGTTTACTCTCAAATGCCTGCAATGCCTGGGAATGGGCTGAGGTCAAAGCCAGGGCCACAACCCAAGTCTCCCACACGGTGGGAACAGGAACCCAGTCACTCGAGCCATCGCTCTGCTTTCCAGGGTCTACATTAGCAGGGAGCTGGAATCAGAAACTGGAGCTGGGTGCTCTGATCCAGCTTCCCTGGTGTGGGACTTGGGCATCTTAATTGGCATCCTAACTGCTAGGCCAAATGCCCACCCTGGTCCAGGTTTTAGAGCAGGGCTAGGGAACCTTTTCTTTTTGGCTATTTATACCAGCACTTGCAGGCCGTACAAAATGATCAACCTAAAAATTAGCCTGCTATAGATTTATTCGAGTTTTGAATCCCACTTGCACTTGCCTTGGTCAGGGCCAGAGCAAATGATTTCACAGGCCTTATGTGGCCTGCGGGTTGGACACTGCCCACCCCTGTAGGATGAGTGGCACTAGGTGAACCCATGCTGGGACAGCACATTTTAAGTGGTAATAAAGCCAAGAGTATTCTGGAGTTTACACCAGGAATGTACTTGACATTGGCGTTAGGATGACGTGGGCTATAATATTTCCTTGTTTTCCCTGGACCTTCTTAGGAACGTTAAACAAAGGCCAGAGAAGTTTCAATTAGAAGGCACAGGATACGACTTCGCCTCGGTCATTCAATCTCCAAGGGACGGTTCAGGCTCACGGAGAAGAGGCCAGCTGCTAATGGGCTAAGCTCAGAGTGAACCGTGCATAACAGCTTCTCAGGAGCTCATGAGAAACAGCAATGTAAGAGCTCCATACAGATTCGTGGTTTACCTCAGTTGCTCATAAAGCAGATTATAGTGAACAGGAGCTTAGTAATGAATTGTGCAATAAAAGCAGTGTCTAGCCTGTATGCTGTGCAACAAGCATGCT